TCATATTACAGTAGTAGGCACTAGGCACGTACCACGTAGATACATCAGTAAATATGTAAGTGAATAGTTAGGTTAGGTTAGGTTAGAATAAGTAGAGGTAAAGTTGTATGACATTATGACATTATATTTCTTTAATTACAAAAAAATGAATTTTCCAGTTTTGTTGGAATGTATTATGTATACCTATAGGAAATGTAAATATCATAAGTACGGACTTTTCGAGTAAATAATAATTTTTGCTATGATATTATAGGTATTTCATATTTCCTGTTTCTAAACAGGATTAACTATATTTGAATTTCCGATGCATAATATTTTTAATTCACGTGAAACTGAGATCAAAATGAAATTATAGTTGTTAATTACTACTTGCTAGACAACATCATATCTCGTATACGAGTGAAAAGATCGAAAATGTAAACCAATCGTCCACGGTGAAGTTTTAACTTATAACTCGTAGTAAGTTACCCATTTAATTTTTCTATTGTTCGTATTAAAATTTTCATAAAATCATGTTTCATTCCGCATTTAGATATTTAGATAAATCTTCTATTATATATTTTTTTATACATCTGTACGTATAAAACCATTTAAGTACAGGTAGTAGATACCTATCTAACATTATCTCGATCATATAAAATAATAATATCAACATCAATAGTAATAATAATAGCAATAGTGACTTGGTGAGGCTCGGTTGTACGCTCAATCTGCAGCAACGCTCTGAGCATGTTACCGGCTGTCGTTGCTAGCACTCGGATGGGTGCCCACTCGGGTTTTTAGCAACACATCCTTGCAAAACATACAAACAAGTGTTTCAAATCAACCGTTTCTCCCTAAAAACAGCTAATGGCCATTGTTGCCGGGCTTTAGATCAATAAAAATAATAATAATAATATTGCATAGCTTAAACGCCCTAGTCCATCATCGTCACAGTTATAGATGCTAATGTGCCTATACATAATAATATTATTTATAATATCGAAGGCGATATTAATGTATATTATACCTACGTAAATAGTGTGAACATGCGGCGTGTGTATGACTTATGTTGGACGATCTCGCTCGCGCGACGACGAGGGCGACGGGGCTCGTGGGAACAATCCCGCCGGGGTGGTGTACCGTACCGTTCATATTATATACATGTTATATATATAATATTAATATAATGATAATGATAATAATACGAAAAACACGTGGGAAACGAATATACGCGGGCCGTGACCACTCCGGGCGTACGGCACGAGTACCCACCGCCGCATAATATTATGTATGGGTACGCGTAGAAGAGCACCGCGTGTACCCATATATATGTATATTGTATATATATTGTATAGTCGAGATGGATATTACACACACATACACTTGCGCATGTACACCTATATGGCTGTATAAATATATGCATTTACGTAGGTATATATGTATATAGAAACAGATACAAACACTCACACACACACATAAGTCCGGTCATCCCTGCCCGGGGGGAAACGGCCGTGCGGCAGTGTGTATAGCAGCGAGCGGTGGTCGGGGGCACCGGAGCGCGCGGTCGGCCCCGGGCACCAGCACGATTGTCGCCCCAGGTCGTGTACGACCTCATGTCACGGCACATCAAACGCGCACAAAAACATAAAATAAAAACCGTACACCTCCGGGCGATATTCCGAGGGAAAAAATATAAAAATAATAAACATGTGCACGTAATGATTTTCGCCTCCAGTGTGTATATATACGACCGCGCGCGCGCACACACACGCGTTTACGTACGCATATTGATACATACTTATGATGATGATGATGATGCATATACTCAGTACTCGGTACACTCACACATGGGCGACGGGCGCAAGCCCGCCAGACCGTCCGATTGGTTTATTTTGTACGATTTTATTTGTGTTTGTACCTGAGTAGGTAAATCATGCTTAAGACCCAACACATTATACCGTGTTATTTTTATTTCGTTGATGCGACAGAAATCGTTTCCACGAGGTCCCTTATATTGTACCCATACTAAAAAATAATAAAATATATACTGTAACACACTAGGTATACGTAAATTACACAATATCCTCCTCGCCATCCAACGGTTCTCACTCATTATTATACGTATAATAATATTGTAATGTATGCACACTTCGATAATTTTACCTATTTTTCCATAATACCGCTAATCGCTAATGTATAACATTATGTGATTATTAATTCGTATATAAGTACACGCGCGCGCACATGCATTATACTATACATGCGTGGGTGCACTCACGGCGCCTTCGATGAATCCAGAATCCTGAATCATATAACAATAATAATGGGTAATACATCATATCATTATGCGTGTACATTTACACGCCGACGATCACGATGACGGCACGTCATGCACGCAACGCCGTCCGATTGCAGCGCTCACTTGGTGTCTCATTTTCATAAAGTTTTTGTGTAAAACAATATTGCCAGCTATTACATGTATAGACACACTCACGAGTGTAATTATTTTTTTAAAGAGCGCCAATAACGATTTTACCTATATATTGAGGCATCGAGCCTGACGGATATCTATTAGAAAATAAAAATAGGGAAATCGGCGGTGAATTATTTTAATAACAGCCCGAGAACTTTTGTAAACGCGTGAACGTTAGAAAAGTTTGTAACAGTATTCATGAAAAGTTTCTGTTAGAATAGATGAACGAAAAAAATTATTTTTCAAACTAATTTTTTAATTTATTAATACACTTTTATCTGAGATTCCCAGATATTGTATTCATTGATCCAATAGTTATACAATTTCTAAATTTCTCCCTAATTACTTTTTAATTATCATTTATCAATAGCAATAAATTAAACACAATATATAATATTTAAATATAATCACTATTTGTAAATACAGGTATCCTGTAACAGTATAACCAAAATATTATCACACAAATAACAATAAAATATTAAAGTATAAGATTCTCAATTCTGATAAGTTGATAATTATTATATTATATTAGGTAGTATAATTTGTAAAGTACCTACTACCTAGTGAAATTCAAACTCAAATATATTATATGGTCAATTGACAATCACACATTTAATTATGGCTTGATGAGTACTATATAATAAATAATTAACCATAAATGGCATAAATCATGAAGGAGCTGATTTAAAAACTGGACACTGGAGGATAACACTCGAGCCTCCCTCAAAATTATTACTATGAAAAAACATACGATTTATTCTTGGTGCACCAAAATTATTAAAATGTAAAATTAAACTTCTTCATTTTCTTAATGCTATACGGTCGTTATTGCATTACATTTTAAATTTATAGCCTAACCTTTTTTTAATAGCCAATATAGTCATAAATCGTATACCTAACAGGTATATTTTGTATTCTTAGCGTTATACATTATATCATAATGAAACATTTGTTAATTAAAAGACACGCATTATTTTTAAAGCTAGATTTTTACTTGAAAACTTGAATGTCCGTTGTAATTATTCAAGTTGAAATAATAAATAACACTGTTATCGTACAATTCTTTAGCTACCTTTTAATAATCGGTCCGGACTCCAGGATGACTTCTTTTAGACACAACAAAAGAAAAAAAAAGAAATGTGACTCTTAAGAATTAAAAAAAAATAATCGATTATGTATTTTAGCACAAACACATTGCCTAAAAAATATTTCAAACGGATTATTCGGGAATAATATTGTTAGTGGTTCGATCACATGAAACACTCGTATCGTAGTTATCCCGAGTACTGAACCAGTGAATAGCATGCACAGATTACAGAAGACCGCCACAGCAAGCCAGAACTACACCATCTGGTGTTCCCAGTGTAGCCACTGAACAAATTATAAAACGTGTTATTTATCATTTACAACATTATTTACAGTAGAATATTGTAAAAATATATTTTGGAATTTTACATTTTTACCCAATATGTATTAACTAACAATAAGGATACCCATGGGCCATGGCCCATGTTTATTACTTCTGGAAAGTGGGGTACAATCCATCTCTCTCCAATTTTGCATTGGACAGAGCTTATTAGTTATTATTCTTCTCAAATTATTATTTTATTGATTTATTCTATGGCTATGTGCGCCCACCATCGAAGGATAAAACCGCAGAATAATTTGATTATTCTGTTATGCAACCACTACTCAGTGGCGTATCTATGATTTTTTTTAAGTGGTGAAATGACCAAAACTATTTTCCACATTAGGAGTCAGAGGGTAGATATCCCCTAGGATAATCCACGGGTTTTGTAATTTATCACCAAAATTTTGTGCAAGAAAATGGTTAGCAGGTAGTATTTATTTTTGGATTTATATAAGTACTAATCACGATTATAAAAAAATTAAAAATGTAGAAGTACCGTCAGCCAACGATTCAAAATGATTTTGAACGATAGTTAAAATCGATTTCAAGCTCTGAATTAACAAAAAAAAAAAAAATAAGTAAAATATAGTATACTATAGTCAACTTATTTCCAGGTTAACCTTCTCGAAATTTCAACAGTAAACTTAATTTTCTTTCTTAAAATCTCTAACACAGCAAAGGTTTCCTTTTTTTCAGAGCCATATGTCAAAGGGGAAGTAGCAAATAGCCTAAGTTCCCTGGGTCGAAAAACCTCATCTACCGTTTTTGTCTTAAAACATACAATTGCAAATTGTTATAATTTTTGTAATTTTAAGACCTAAAAGGTAAACCAATATTTGTATAATTAATATGGTAAAGAAAAATTATCTAATATAGGTAAAAATTATGTTTTGAAATAATATTCAAAATATATATTTTAATAAACATTAATATTTATGTGACTATCTAATCTTATCTAAATTGTAATGCTAATATATAATATGTTAAACATCAACACAATAATAATAAAAATATCACAGTGATTAACCCTTCTATAGATACATTTTAGTAATTAAAATTATTTTTAAAGGCAGTTATTGCTATAAAAGAATAGTTATTTAAATATTTTTGCTTAAGATATTAATTAATTAAAATAGTATAAAATATTATAAATTTTGATAAGTATACAAAAAATATAATTCTAGATTAAAATAAAATGTTTTAATACTTTTAGTTTAACATTTAATTATACTTCAGATGTAAATTTCTTGGAGTTTAGACCGTTCTTTAATTCTTTTACATTTAGGGCAGAAATCTCTATTTTTCCAACATTGGTAGTGATAAACATTATCACATTTATCACAGCTATGGGCATCTTCATCGAATGGGAATATTATTGTTTCCTTTTGACAAAGCTCACAAATATATCCTTGATTTTTACAAATCTAACAATAATAAAAATAATAAAATATGTTTAAAATATTATTTATGGTGATTTTATAATAAAAATTAACCAACTTCGCATTCATATCGAATATGTTTTTCACAGACATCTTTTACTCTCTTTAAATCCTCTAAAAAAAGTCCAGATTTTATATCAACCATATCTTTCATGCTATACAAAATACTATCATATAACAATTCATGGCATCTAGTGGATACATTTTTTAACTGTGCATTCCAAACTTTACACAAAACCAAGTATTTCTTCATTTTAACTAAGCTATTCTTAATGCTCTATAAAAAAAAAAATAATGACTAGTTTGAATTACAGAATTAAATTCAGTTTCTTACTTTAATTTGATTTAGTGACTCTAAATATGTATAGAGTTTAGGGTTGTGTTTTTCCAAATTGTACATCTTTGATTTATAGTTATAATTAAGTAGCTGAAAAGATGCCTGACTCACACATTTTTTTTCAAATTGCCAATTACATAGAACACGTGCTGGTATTAAAGCGGTATTATTCCAATGGTGTAAAGGGCAGTAATATTTGCCATCATAGTCACACAAGCGGGCCTCTAATGAAATAGTATCTTCTAAAGATAAAAATATGTTCAATAAATATGATATTGTTATTATGTATAGTTAAACTAATTGTTTTACATTACCAGGTGAAATTTTGGTGTTGCGAATTCGGATGTATGATTGGCATTCAGCACATTTGTAATCTTGAAATAACAATCCATTGGACGGAGTGATAGTTAAAATCATAGAATGCTCACTAGCAACAACTGCAGTACAAACCCTTTTAATTTTTTCCACACAGAAAATATGACAGTAGTATCCACAATCTACAATCATACCATTCAGTTAATTCAATTTGCACACATCAATTAATTTAATGAATAAAAGTATCCAATTTTATACCTGAACATTCATACAGTTGATGCATGTATTTCCAAATAGTTTTTGTACATACGTCACAAAATTTATTTTCTAACCAATTTGGCTTCCATACAAAAGATAAATGATGACCAAAAACTACTTTAGTTTCATTCAGTAGATTTTTGTTTTCTAAAGCCTTTATTTCTGCTATCATTTCTAATTTGAACCTTAACTCTACTAGTCTTCTGACCAGTCGCATGCGTTCTTGACTACACTCTTTAGTAGTTCTTATCATTTGATTGCATTTTTCAATTTCTTTTTCCAATATATCACCATTTAAATCATTCTAAAAAATTTTAACAAATAAATACACAAACTGAATAAACAGGATATTTTCTATTTACATACTTCGCTTATTGTTAAGAAGTTATCAGATACAGATGTTGAACTTTCGGATGACACTGAATCAGATGATATTGATGACAGTGAAATCACTGAATCATTCATTTCAACATTGAGTAAAAAATCTTTGGGTAATGAACTCATGGAAAAGTTACCACCTGGAACCATAATATAATTTAGTATAAGTTAGCTTATGTATTTAATTAACTGAAGAAATCTGTTAAATATAATTCTCATAGTTTGTAATTAAAAAATAATACATTGCATTATTTTTAATATAGACATTGTATAGTAGCATATCATTAACATACCAGGTTAATTTGTTATTTCTATAATATATTGAATTACTATTTAGTAAAATGTAGGACAATTATTTGTTATGGAATATTGGAATAACTTATAACATAAAAATAAAAAACTGATTTACTTAACACTTATATCTCACATCTTACCTATTGTCCTGTGATTACACTATGACCTAAGTCATTCTATAATAATAAAATATAATAATCACTTCTACTACTAAGACTAACTCCTAACATAATGATTAGTGTGCCATGCTCATAGAGTAATAATAAATATTAAATAGTAATAGATGCCATGATAATAGAAATTCGTTTTATCATTGAATGACAAATATTTGTGATAAGAATAAATAGTTAATATTATTATTTAAGTACCATTAAAAATATAGTATATACTTATATTATACTAAACATTATTAAAGTATATGATCTAACTGATCTAAGTATAAATAAGTGCAATATTATCTTATATCATGTTCATTATGTTTTTTAATATTTTGGAATTATTATTATTAATTTGTGATCTAATCTATTGTGATTTGTGGTCTAGCCGTCTAGGATAAGACAATTTGTGGTAACCACGAATTTAAGATAATCTTTATTCCTTAATCATGGTGGTAACTTTTTTATCTATGGTATTGACAAGACGTTATGAACATAACATATCAATGTATATACACAGAATATATGTATAGTGCTATATATGTCATTATGATAAAAATTATCAAAAAAAAAAATTAATAAAAACAATGTACCTATCCTAAAAATAAATGTACAGCCAATAAAATTTATTGGCAATAACCATTAGCGATTAGCCATAATAAATTTATAAATTATAAGAAACCTTAGGATAAATATCGTATTAACATCTTTTCAAAGTTCTAACCAGAATTAAAATCGTTATTTTTTATCATAAAATCGTATTTTGTCAACGTTGTGAATTCAGAATTAGTAAGTAGTTAGTACTAATGAATTATATAGTTACCAGTGTTGCGATCAGAAATAATAAGTTTGAACCCGTTAATCAAGAAACAAGCGCTATTTTTATATTTCTACAATTCGACTAGTTAACATTACAATTCGAAGGTAATGCTGTTATAATTTTAGTTGCATTTGGATGATATTTCTGTTCATACTTCAATAATACGAAATTCTTCAGTTTGTCTACCAATTGTTTTGATAACATGTCTTCTGAAAGCTGCAAGAAATTTGAATGTGATGAGTGTATGAAAACATTTTCAAAAAAGAATAATTTAAACGATCATATTTTAGCAAAACATTCAAACACAAAGAAATATGTTTGTTCAATTTGTAAGAAATCATTTTCTTACAAACAGTCATTTAACAGGCATATGAATGTTCATAAAGTAGCAACTTCTATTTACTCATGTTCAGAATGTGGTTATAGTTCTCAGTTAAAATTTATGCTGACCCGGCACATTAAGAGTGTGCATCTGAATAAAAATGACAGTCTTTTCAAAGTATCCTGTGTGTTTTGCAATCACCATTGCTCCAAAAGCAATTTATCCGCTCATTATGTGCTCTGCCACCCAACAGAAATTGTTAGTGAACAATTAAAGTTTGATAGCCTAGATGAATTTTATGCATGGAAGTATGAGGTTGAAGATCAAGATATTAGCAGGTAAGTAATTTTATTTTATCTAACGTACCTATTAAATAACAATTTTTTTTGGAATTAATATTATGATTAGGTATAATTGTAATATGTTTATATTATTATGTTATAGGTTTGTTAAAGCTCGGACGACATATGTTGGTATATCTGGTTCTAAACATTTATTTTTTAAATGCCACCGTGATGGAAAATATAAGCCGAAAGGCAATAACATAAGAAAATTAAAGTCCCTAGGTACCAATAAAATTGGTTCCTATTGTCCAGCTAGAATGGATGTTATGGTTGAAGGCAATGAAGTTAGTGTACTTTATATTAAAACACATATTGGCCATGACTTAGAACCAAAACGTTTAACTCTAGCCAAAAATGAGAAAGATTTCCTTGCTGAACAATTAACAATGCCTAATACTAATTACAATGATATTCTAAATGTTGTTAAAACCTTAAATTCAACTAGTCGTTTGCATCATTTAACAAGAAAAGATTTAGTTACAATTAATAGTTCTATAAAAGAAGCTGCAAAAAGAAATAATACAATGATTCAAAACAATGATAAACTAGAAGATACGGCAGAAATAAACAATGTCTTTGATGGAGATTTGGTAGATTTATTTAATGATCAAAATCACAAAAAATCACCACTTGTATTAAACCCAGAGAATGATTGTATGGGATCTGATAAACAAGACATTGTTGTTGCAAATAATACTATACTGACTTCAGATCATTTAGAACTAAAAAATAGTTATACAAATAAAATCCAACCTTTGTATGAATTAAATGTTGATCAACAAATAATTGAATCAAATGAACAAATACCAATTTTAGAGTTCAATCATGAAGTAAGTAAATTTTTCTTTAGTCCTATTAAAACACTTATATTAGTCTTGATAAACCAAAAGTAAATATAACAATTCAAATAATTTTTCTTACATATTTTAATTTCCAAAGAAAATGTATTCTTATTTTTACGTTAATTCATGATATATTTGAAGAGATGTCAGCTCAATATTTGTTTTCTCTCAGATCTTCTCTCAACATAGAAAAAACTGCTTTAATCTAAAATCTTTTTTTTTGATTTTTGAGTGATCTTAAAGTAAAATCACCTATTACAAAAAATTAGAGATTAATATTTTAGAGAGTATGACGGTTTGTATTTTATTATTATTATTTGACTTAATATTCAACTTTCAAAATAAAAAATTTGTAAATTTGAATGATGTTTAAATTATTTTGAGATAATATTTAGACAAGTCAATATGTCGTACCTACCCTCAAAAATATTATTCGTCGTTTTTGTAATAAGTGATTTTACCCTTGAGCTTACACAAAAATAAAAATGATACTGCGTCTGTGATTTATTTATGTTGTCCGTGGTCCAGAGAAAGAAAACAAACAAAGTGATGATATCCTCTTAATTGTTTTCATTGGATTATTCGGTCTACAGAAGCTTAACCAGAGGGGCTATTTGCCCCCCCCCCCTACACCACACTCATAAAATTGTGGCTACTCCACTGTCAGCCTGTATAAGTCCATCTTAAATTTATTTTAGATATTGGAGGGCAATCAAGTTATAGATTACCAACAACAATTGACAAATATTGAAAATGAGAGAATTAGTATAATGGAAAAAATGAAGTTGATAGTCAATCAAATTACTTGCAATGATGAGTTTGCCATTGTTCATCAAGGATTAATGAATATAATGAGCACAATTGATGAAAGAAGGAATGCAATTGATCAAGCGGTAGTCAATGGAGATTTAGACAATATAATGATATTTGATGAAAGTATTTTACAAAAACAATGCCAGTAATATCAGGTAATGAAATTAAAATAAAATCACTGTTACAAATACTTTGTCCTTCAGTCCAGAATATAATTTTGAGTGATTCCAATTTTATTTTTGATTTTTATAATCTATTGCCTAAGTACTCATGGGCGTAGGTAAGGTGGGGGTTTTGGGTGTTCAAACACCCCCCGAAATTAAATAAAACAATTTTAAGCTTTTCGTGAATTTGTTCGAGAATATTATTAACTCGCATATTATTTAGGATTTAGACAAAAACCCCCTCCAAAAATATTTCCTACCTACGCCCATGTAAGTACTATTTAGTACTAATGCAATTGTGAATAGTAGGATGTCATTATATTATAATATGTAACTCCAATCACTTACAGCCAACAGGAGACTCCTGTTGTGTAAATTGTCATATTATATTGAGATGACACAGAAAATCAATTAGATAGGTATTTAAAGATATTTATTTATAGTTACTAAATTATAAAATATTTCAATAAATTAACTAAAACAAATAATTATGAACATGTTTTAAACTGCTTGCATGTGTTTGAAATTCAGCATTTTTACAAATAAATTTTCCTGTATAAGATCTTTTAACTATTACATAGTGTCATTTATACTGATAGGTTCAGTCTTCAGATGTACACAAATAAACAAATTATTTATATATTTGAACACTTTATTAAAACAGGACATTTATAGTGATGAGGTCAATCGATGACCACACAAAAACCTTTTATCTGTTCTATTTTAACTCATATATATCAATGATAAAACTTATTGTTATTGGCTAATCGACACAAAACTTACTGACTAAGGGCAAAATTATAAGAATTGTTATTCATTGCATAAATGTTTCCATTGCCTAGTTTTGAATTTCAATAATATATTTTTGTATTTCTACCTAATTGATACATTTATCAAATGCTTAATACAACAATATACATTTATTTTCTACAATCTGACTAGTTAGATTTTGAGTTGTGAGTGATTTTTCATTCTGAGAGGAATGACAGTCGTAAATAATGATTTTTTTTTTATCCTTGTGTTTATACTTTATTGGCAGAAAAATTGTTGGACACTATTACAGTTATACTCAAAGTATTTCTTTGGTAAACGGTAAATCTAAAAGTTCAAAGTTGTAAATCTATATTCACTTTTCATAGTTCATGATACATCAATAATCATTATCAATTCTAAATATATTATCATGACTTAATAGATTTAATCTTTTCCATAATCCATAGTAATACTTTGGTAGAATCTGGGTATCCATCATGATTAAAGATATATCTTAAATTGTAGTGTCCATCCCAATTCCCAATTATAGAATGTTTATCAGTACTTTTTTAAAGATTAATAACCAACAGGATAAGGGATTTTAAATTATTAATTGAAATTAAAAACTTACACTCACTTTGTGAGATATTTTGTATTTCATAGTTTACAACACTTTCCAGTGTAATATCTCTTATCAGTTATCAGCAAATAAATATTGATGTGTTGTTGTTATTTGTACTTTTTTACCTTGTCTCAAATTGTTTATCTGTATTATTTAATATTTTAAATTCAACAATTTTTTAATTCTGCTTAATTGTATATTTAGATGCATTCTTATCGTGTATTTTAGCACCTCTAAGATGTATTTCATTTATGATAATCCATTTATTGATTTTATTTTATTTTGTAAACAAATAAAAACTTTTTTAAATTTTTATATTTGCCACACGTTGCAATTATTAAATTAATAAATTCAAAATTGACATCCAATCTAAAAAATTTATGACCATGCCGTTTCGTTTAAAAACCTTTTTTAGTTCTTGCCTTTTAATACTGCCGTATTTTATGTTCTCAATTGGAATTACATTTTACCAAAGATCGTTCTTACAAGTATGAACAGCTGTTACTTAAGTTTTTTTAAATATAAATTGTACTGTTTTGCGGTTGGTTATTTTAAATAAAATGTATATTTTTTTTATAGATGTTCCATTTTCCCCTGCTTGTCGTTTCATGTCACTTGGTTTTAAAATTTCTCGCTTCAATTATTTTTCGGTGCTTATATCATACAGCAATGAAAATTCCTCCTGTGCAATTATCTTGGGACAGTAAAGTTTCAAAATTTGCACCTATTGGAATTTCAAGTGGTATTGATGTTGGATTTTCAAATTGGGGCCTAGAACTTGTTAATGTTTCATTGTATGTATTATAAATTTTAGGCATTAAACTGATTTATTTATTAATATATAAAATTGTCTGTTTCAGGTACACTATGACAAAGTCAACAGCTATTATTTTTGTGTTAATTAATGCTTTGATTTTACGTCTAGAGAAAGCAGTAAGTTAAAAAAATAATGAATAATAGTTATTTATTAGTTTCATTTTAATTTTATTTTTCTTCCATATATAGTCAGTGACACTATTCCTTATTGTATTTTCAATTTCTGGAGGATTATTTTTGTTCACATTCAAAACCACAGATTTCAGTACATTAGGATTTATTTTATTATTAACTGCATCATTCGCCAGGTAAATATGATTATTATTTATGTATTAAAATTAATCAAATCTGTTTTCATAATATATTTATTATGCATATCAAGTTCTGTTTAAAGATATTGTCTTAGATAATATAAAAATAATTATTTTTTTCTACTAAAAATTTTTATTATAGATGTATTTGTAAAAATTGAATCAAGTGTATTTTCTTAATTTGAATACAGTTGTATTTTTAATCTGTTAATATGTAGTACTTATCTACTAAATAGTAAAACATGCATTTTAATGTATTTTAAATCCTTATACAGTGTTAAGCTGTATTTTCATACCATGTTCAACTGTGACAAAAAGTCTATACTCTTTATGTGAAAAATACTTCTAAGTAGGTAGTATGGTTCTGCGCATGAGAGCAGCAGTTTTGCAGATTATTACCACAAATAACAATAGTAGTTGATCACTGATAGGGAAATGCAATGCTTTTATCAGACAGTACCAGGCAAAAAATTATGGTCATCTACAAGTACTCTTTATGTAAATGGATTATTGTTATTACTAACTATTAGGAAAATATATTTTTAATATGACAATTTAATATCAACTTTTTACTCGAATATTAACTTATACAACATAGCAGACACTGTCTAGTGTCTATACAGTTGATATAAGTAAGTTAGCAACACAGTGGTCCAATATAAAACAAAGAAGAATTGAATTTAAAAAATAGTGTATTATTTTAATAAATGGATATCTATTATTGACTATTAAATACTATAAATGAAATACTCATAAAATTATAAATTGTAAATTTTTATCTTATCTCTCTTATATACCTACTATCAGGGCCGGCTCAATGTGGTAGCAAAATAGGCAGCCGCCTAGGGCGGCAAATTTCAAATGAACCAAAGTGATTTAATTATTATTATTTAATTATTTAATTATTGTATAGAGCAGCGAAAAATTAGATTTGCCTAAGGCGGCAAAAAACCTTCGGCCGGCCCTGCCTACTATTGCTAGTGATGACTAATACCAAGACATGTTCTCTGACGTTATATATTGGTGAAGAGTTATAAATACTGAATATGTATCTCTATATGCTTAAGATATGTATATAATAAATAATGATTGTAAAATAATTTGAGCGGAGCGAGAAAAAAATTTTTTTAGGCTGCAAATTATTGAATCTAGCCTCCCATGATTTTTCTTTCAGGACGGCCCTGTGTGTAATACTTGATATTAATATTGATTATATTAATCTATATAACAATAATAATAATGTGTATAATTTATTTTATTATTTTATTTATATATTACAGTGGTTTTCGTTGGACACTATCACAATTTGTTATGCAGAAAGCCGACATGGGCATGAAAAGTCCTATTGACATGATGTATTTTAGTCAACCCTGGATGTTTATTGCAATATTTCCTATTTCATTGTTTTTAGAAGGTAAAAATATCTATTACTTATATTTTAAATATCCAATACTTTATCATTTTAGATTCTGAGCAGAACAGTGAGTGTATTGATCGTACAATAATAATATAATAAGTCCTTTTTTTTGAAGTAGGAATGTGAATCTATTTAGTACTGTAGGAGGATCAAAAGAATACAATTCACAGTAGTTTTCAAAAGGTATAACTCAAAAACTTATAACCGTAGATACTTTAAATTTTTTCCTAATGATTATATAACAATTTCCTGTTTATGATGAACATTTTAAAATATTTTGACTTTTGAATCTATTTGTAACTTTTTTTAAACATTTTAATCTTTTGGTTTTTTCCCTATATATACAAGAAAACAAATTTCGCTGTTTCAAAAAGCTTGAAAATTTAGTGCAAGGTTCCTCCTAAGTTTTTAATAGCAGTTCCTAAGCATACAAAGTCAACATTTTTTTATACAATAGAAGGAAAATAGAAAATCACTTTAAGATATGTATTATTTGAGATTAATATTGATGAAAGAAAAAAACCAACAAAATTTAATGTATTATTAAAGAATAACAATTTTTATTATTTTGTTGTAAATTAAAAAATATTATCTGAAGGTTTTTGAAAATGTTAAAGTATATTATGTTTTATTAATACATACACTGATATTTTAAAATATAATTTGTTTTAAAAATTAATTAGCTTACTATGTTACCAATGTCTAATGGTAAAATAAATTACTTTAATACCAACAATATCATAAAATATACTTAGGAATTAAAACTAACGGATTCTTTGCTCAGAATCGTATTTTATAACAATGAATTATATCATTGAATTTAAATTTTAACACTTCTGTGACAGTGAGTCCTAAGGTTCAGCGGAGCAGTACCCACTGCCTCACTGCCTTTTAAATAGAATTATGTTATTTATATAATTGCTTTCTTAAATATTGTTTTGTGTTCAGGTAATGATTTCTGGAAATGGTGGATTAATAATGAAAACATTCAATGTTATCAAATGGTTGTACGTATATTCATTGGATCATTCCTGGCTATTGGACTTGAAATATCAGAATATTTTGCTGTATATAAAACATCAAGCATTACATTAAGTATAGTTGGTATTATCAAGGTCAGTAGGTCATCTTATTCTGCTAATTTAATATTTATTTATTTAAGTATTTCATTATTAGGAAATTTGTATTTTGATATTGGCTGTGGAATGGAATGGTGACAAAATGACTACCATGAAGTTATTAGGATTAGCAATGTGCATGATAGGTGTTATTGGACATGTGTGGCAAAAGTTTTCAAGATCAATTGAAAATCGATATGGTATTATTGACAATGAAGATAATAAACATTTAACGTTACCAGATAGTGATTCTGATGATTCTGGTGATTCAAATAGCTCGACTGAAGTGCTTTTTGATATATTAAACAGGAGACGTTGATAATTTTAATATGCTTTATGTTTAAAAGGCTGTGAATTTTTTTATTTTTAAACTAAATACATTTCCATTATTAAAAATTCAACATTGTTTAATATCCATTGGCTTGATTGCTTAAGTAACTGTGATATTATGTACCACAATTGTATTTATTATTTGTTTATTTAGTATTTAAAAACATACTCACTTAAATTTTAATTTACTTGTCAATGCAAATTATTTTTGAAAGCATTAAATTTGTTTACATTCAATATTCATAAACAAAACTTAACATAATATATATATTTTGTATATTGTATGTATTTATTATTGTTAGAATTATTATTTTTATCTTTATGGAAAGTTTAAGCTGAATGTTGGTTGTGTGTATAGAATTATATCATAAATTATTAAAATAGTATATAATCAAATATTATTTATTACCTTTATTTTTGTTTGAGTAGTACAATTTATGTTGTTTTCAGTATTCTAAAGAACATTACAAATTAAGATATTTTTATGTAACTATTTATATATAAATGCCGCGTTGAGCATAATTATCATGCATTATATTTTTGTACTTTAATTTATATCAGTGCTTTTAAGATTAAAAACTGTGCTTTTTGTTTAATAAATAATAATTATGTGCAGTGATTCAGTACAATATGTATATTAATAATAATTTTAAAAAAAACATAATTCAGTAACTATCAATAATATTATCATATACTTAAATGTTTATTGATCATGTTTTGAGATCAAAATTTAACAAAAGAAAAAAAGGTTTGCTTAAATTATAGTATTATACAGATATTTACATTTTACAGTAAAATTCACCTTTTAAATAGGTGATGTACAGACTATAGTGATAATTATTAACATATAACATCAAAATGGAATGAAAAAAATATAAAATTAATGATGTCAATCGAATTATCAAAACTCTATTACCTAATCAGTTCAAAATATAAATAGAAAAAAAATGAAACTGACAATATTACGCAGATATAATAAATAATATAAACTCAACATTGTCTTCACTTGACTAGCACATGTGTGGATTGAACGAAATTCGGGCGCGGGTAATATATTATAATATTAACATATCATAATATAATAGGTGGTCCACAATTATATTATTGTGTGGACACCGGACGTCCGACTTGCATCTCGCTTTCGGCGATCGCCATCCATTGGTTGCGGCTGGTGTCGAACCACGTCAGCCCAAAGTTGTACTTGCCGTTGAGGTTGGCGTGCTGACACCGCGAGTACCACCAGCCACCCTCATAGTTGGCCGCGCAGTTTGCCGTGCTGGCGTCTTGGTCGCGGTCCGCCGTGCTGAACCGGTGACCGTTTTGGTAGGACAGGGCGTCGGTGGCATTGCCACTGTAACCCGAAATATCCAGCCTGTAACCGTCGGTGGCGTTCGAAATCGTAAAGTTCAAGTAGTCCGCCCGCCAATTGTTGCCGTAAATGTCGGTCATCCGGACGCGCAGTGAAGACGTGTTGTCCGCCGTCAACCGGTGGATAGCGTCATTTCCCAGCCAAAAATCGCCTTTGAACCGAGGTTTGTATTATAGGTATGTACGATTTATAGTAGTATAAAAATATGTATCATGGTAATAATGTTCATATTATTATTGAATTATATCGTCAATATAGGTTAGGTATATATAGCCATATAGGTATTACAACAATGTAGCAAAAAATTATAATTATGCTATAGATAT